TTTCGGTTGACTCTGCTTGTTTTGATCCTGTGGTATGTTGCTCTGCTGGCTGCTCGCCTCTGTGTTGACTCGGATACATTCCTGCGCCTCGACCTCTGTTGGATTGAGCGCCTCTGCCTCGACAGTTGCCTCTCTGGCCGTAGTTGGGGCGACCCCGTTGAGTACCTCTGCCTCGGCTTCCCTGGTGGCCTCGTTGATTCCAACAGTCCTTTTGTCGGTGACCGGCTTTTCCACATAGAAAGCATTTGCCTTCAAATTTTGCTGTAAAAGTACTTACATTGCTTCTTTTTTCAGCATCGCTTTTTGCCATGTCTTTCTCCTTAATTTTTGATTTAACGTAGTCAACCGTCCTTTGTTCTTCCGGAATGATATCGATGAAATCTCCTATGTAACTGTAGCTGGGTGGCAGTGCTCGTATCAAGTACCTCATCTTCTCGGTTTCTTCTATTTTTCCACCAGCTGCCTTGAACTCGTTTACCGCTTTCTCGAACTCCACGAAGAAGTCGTCTACTTGATCAAAATTCTTCAATTTTATTTCTTCAAGTCTTCCTCTGCATATTATTTGTAGTGACGTGGATTTCGTTAAGTATATCTTGTCGAAATTTTGTATCATGTCGTGTGCTGACGTGCACTCTCCAATAAATTCCAGCTGTTTGTCTGATACAGCGCTCATTAACATCGTTCTCGCCTTTAAGTCCCTTTTCTTCCAGTCATTTACATCCTTTTCACCAGCACTCATGTATCTCGTCGCTTGTTCTTTGCATTCCTTGTATTCCAATAACGTCATTATTCGCAGCTTCCAGCTTGTATAATTTGCTCCGTCGAATACAGGAATCATAATGTCTTCGATTTTCGCTTGTCTCGCCATTTCCATCTTTCTCCAAAATCGCCACGCGCTTTATACTTGCGTTCCGCCACGTGCTCTGACTGGAAGTTCTAATAATCTTGACTCTGATACTGGTCCATTATTCAGCCAACCACGCTCTGCTACCATGTAGGATGTATATAGGTTGAGTATGAATAAATGCTGCCTTTTTCCACAACAATATATTCGAATACTTAACACAGGGGTACAAACTTGATTCTTGCTTCCGCACTCCAAGGCGGTCGACAGACGAGAGAGAGGTAGTCAGCAGTGCGCAAGGCGCTAGCTTCACGCAGTGCGTACTCCCTTACAATGAGTTGCGCTATCAATCGCAGAGATAGCGCTACGCGTATTATTAGGCTCGTCTAGATTATTATATTTACTACAACGTACTACAACAAAAACTATTAACAATATGACAATAGATGACGACAAGTTGATGGTTTCATTGGATGTCACAGCGCCATTCACTAATATACCGAAAGAACTAGTCACCAATGGAATCAGAAAACGATGGCATGACATATCCCGTCACACAGCATTCAGCTTGCCACAGTTCTTATATGCAATTGACTTGGTTTTAAGTTCCACATACTTTTGTTTCAATGGACGGTTTTATGAACAAATTTTTGGCAGCCCGATGGGATCTCCTCTCTCACCGATTCTTGCGGACATTGTAATGGACGACCTAGAGACTAACTGTTTGCAGCTATTGAGATTTGAAGTTCCTGTCTTTTTTAGATACGTGGATGACATATTTGCCATAGTTCCGAAGAATAGAGTTAGTGATATGTTAAATGTATTCAACAACTATCATCCACGGCTAAAGTTTACGCATGAAACCGAAATTAATAACTCTATTGCTTTTCTGAATACGTTGGTCATCAGAGACAACGGTAAATTAGTGACCAATTGGTATCGGAAACCAACATTTTCCGGGAGATACGTAAACTTTGTAAGATTCCGTGCCGGGATGGAATTTACAATCCAATTTTATTATCGGAAAGGGGAAGGAGAGATGACCGAACGAATGGCCCTAGGAACTGAGCAGCTAATATTAATTGAACATCACTTTTATTCTACATTCGAGTCGCTTTAATTGCTTTACAACGGAAGTTGAGTATTCGGCGCAACGGGCCCCTCGGTCGTGTATAAAATAAATAGGTGCGAATATCAATAGCAATTTTGTGAAGACCCGGCGAGGGTCCGTCGTGAAGTTAGTGGATTACAAACAATGCGCGACCTCGCATTCCGATCCGCTCAAGGGCGGAGATTACTGTGGACGACAAATCAATGCGGGCAGCGGCGAGCGAACGAGGATTTGTGAAATATTGAGACCGCAACCGTCTATTTTGTATTCCTCATAGAATTAGATATACGTTACATCTTTGAATGCGAGTATTCGACGATTAGATTGGCTACTCATCTGAGTGAGGTAGATCCCACGTTGGCTCTTTCTCCTGCTTCAGGGCCCAGCGCCTCGATAACGATGGTGAAAGATCCGATATAAGTTCTCTACTTCACGGTCTTCCTTTGGTACTGAACCAGCTAACTCAGACAGCCTTTTACTCAATGTCCTTCCTTTACTGGATCTCCGCTGGATCAACGATATAACGTGCGTGTGCCTCTGGCGAGGGCCCCGAAACGAAAGAGGCCGAGCATTCGCTCGATCGTTCGATCCCGGCCATTCGATCACCAAGCCTGCGCGTTCGTCACTTTCCCTTCCTACTCGCTTATCGAGAGGAGGGATGACGTAGCGCTATCTTATAACTTCTTCTCAAATCACCCCTACAAATATAAAATCAACACCATCATAAACTTGGTAGATCAAGCGATTCTGCTCTCGGACAAACAATTTCACAGTTCCAATATAAAAATAGTAGAATCAATTTTAACAAACAATTGCTTTCCCAAAAAGCTAATTGTAAGACAAATAAAAAAGAGACTAAAAACACTCAATAGCTGCGATAAGAGTTCTGACTTGAGCGTCGAGAGACGAGATTTTCGAAAATGTATAGCAATCCCTTACGTCGAAGGCCTCAGTGAAGATATCCGCCACACCTTAAATAGACATGGTTTCGACGCACTATACACGGTCCCGAAAAAACTTGACAGATTTATTAAAAGAGGAAAGGATAAAATCGACAATAACAAAAAAACTGAACTTGTATATAAGCTTAATTGTGACGATTGTAATGCGGTATATATTGGACAAACAAAGAGACACTTAGAAACGCGAGTTAAAGAACATAGGAACGACATTAAAAAACAGGAAAGCGATCACTCTGTAGTGAGCAAACATCGCATTACATA